ACCTTGGAAGGTTAAAAATTTCTTTTTGGCCCTTCCCAAAGGGCTTTCGGGTTTTTGGGGGGGGGGGGAAATGGTTTGGGTTTTTTTTGGTTTCCTTTGGGAAAATTCCCCCCCGCGGGGGGGGGGGTTTGGCAAACCCCCTAAAGGTAACCCTTGGGGGGGGGAACGGTTTTTCCTTTCCCCCCCCTAATAAAATTTCGCCCAGGGTTGGGGGTGTTCCCCCCTTTTTTTTGGCCCCCCTTGGGTTTTTTTCCCGGGTTTTTCCCCCCCCCCCCCCCCCCCCCCCCTCGCGTTGATTCGTCATAGTTGCCGCTCATTCTCCTCGCAGATCTCGAATGCCCCCTAGTACCTAGTACAGCGGTAACCGTGAGAAAAAAGGCTCCGTTGTCGGGCATTGTTAGCTAAAGAGTCTCTATGCATAGATGCATGAAACGGTTTTTTGTCGTCGGTTTGGAGCCCGCTCTTGTGTTAGGTTTGCGAGGGGCTTAATTGTGGGGTCGTGCTGCGATTGTTGTGATGATGACAGCGGGCATGCTTGCTCCGCTCCCCTTCGTGCGTTGTTTGTTTTGTTCGGTGTGTGCCAGTTACTCCCCCCCCTTTTTTTTGTCGTGCATGCTTGTTGGACCGAGATGGCCGTGCTTAACGCGCCTGGGGGGTGGTATCCTTTTTTGCCTTCCTTCGCGGGGCCTCCTACTGCTGTCTGTGGAAAATGATCAATGGATATGTGTTTTGGAAGCGCGAGTGCGTGCAGAAAACGACGAAGGATGTGGTGTCCCAAAGGTGGACTTGAAATACATGCTCGAGGATAGAGCATGTCTGACACAACCAAATGGCGGGATTGGCTGTGTGTCGGACTACATTGTATTTCTTCTTTGTCGCTGGGTGATTGCCTCTTGTGGACAACATCCGAGCACGGGTTAATCGGGGCCGGGAGATTGAGTCCATGCGCGTGCTCCCGATCAATCCAGCGAGATTGCGGGCATTGAGTAGACGATCATCCACGCATGGCAACCCTTACGTCCATTGCCAAAGATCATCTCTCTCTCTCTCCGCTCACTAATTCACGTACGGACACCCATCGCTGAACATGTTCTCTTTCCGATCACCGATCTACGAAAAAAATTGCACTTGGCCATCGTTTGGCTGCTTATGGTTGATATCACGCTTCCCTTGATGTCGACTTGCAAACGATGTGCGATGGTATTAAGCTTGCCCCCCTCACAACACCTTTTGTCACGTTCTGAGCCTGGAGGAGAACTCAAACATGGACCAGACGTTTTGTTACCTTTCCTGTCCTCTCCTCCCGAACTTGTGTTACCCCCCGGGTTGCAGGTTACGGATAGCGCAACCTCTCTTGGTACCCGAAGCACGGGGGATCGTGTTTTCTCTTCGAGCTACAGGTCGAACCAAGCTTGGTTTTCAACAAGGCTTCCTCGATCGGGCATCGCGCATGATGCATAAAAAATATTTCACCAACAACGTTACCATGTGTTCAAACAATTTATTTGGCCTCATTTCCGTGGCTGCTACAACGCTGGTAAACGCTACCTGTACACACGAAGATGCCAACAGCCACGTCTGCCAATCCACACCAACATCCGCCCACAGCAGGAAGATCTGATCAGAGGCCTGACTAACTGCTGCCGCGAGTCTTCAGGCCCGTCCTCGTCCAATCACCACCACACCGCAGCATACGGCTTGAGCAGATTCAACCGGCGAGCAGCATCCACCCCCCTGCAGCAACAGCTGCCCGCTTCTGCGCTAGACCAGCTATCTCTGCTCTACCCCCTTTCTCAATAACCCTAACCCATGAAGTTAACTACCAGTTCTCTTCATGTATGGTGAAAAAAACGCGCGTGCCTGCTCTTAGCCATCATAGGGAGCGTGTTGTTCATCGCCACAGTTCAGCTCGGCGCGCGGAACAATCAGAGGCGACGGCGTACATGACCGTCTGCGGCGACGGAGCCCCCCCCATACTTTTCACACTTTCGCATTCCGCTCTCGGGGTGCCACCTGTTTTCACGCAAATAGCAACGTGGCACTACCTGCAGTACCTGTACTGCTGTGGTACTGCTGTAGTGAGAAAACCAGCTACGCTTGGTGAAACAGGAAGACCGCCCGTACACAACAAGACCCCCCATCGTTCGGCTCACCAATAATCTACACGGGAGAAAATTGACCCCCCCCCCCCAACTGGGCACATCGTTCGCATTTCGCCGGTCGCCTCCACCAATCAACGAACACAAGACGACCCATGAAAACCGATGCACAACAAACTCCGGCATTTTCACATCGATTGGAACATTATCTATTGTATCGCGTCTGTTTTTGTCATCGTACATGTACATGCACGCAGACGACAGATCACGAGGTGCCGCTACCCCACAGCGGCGTGATGTTCTCGGCATCGGGGTCGTCGTCGAAGGTGCCGAGAGGCACGTACTCCTCGCCCTTGCTCTTCCCGGTATTCCTGCGGTCGAACACCACGTACGGCTCCGATGGCCCGGCCTTCATCACCGCGCCCTGCGCCAGTCGGGCGCGCAAAGACGACATCACGTGTGCATACAAAGTGCGGTGTGTATGTACAGTACGACGAGATATCAGAACAATATTCGGCGGAACGGGGGGGGGGTGTACTCATAGTCGTGCATGCCTTGGCGGTTAGACCATTGACCAGGGGGGGGCGGGATTATCGGATTGTTCTCAGAAGCCACTGTTTGACTCTGTTCGTCGTGCAAGCGGTCACGGACGGAAAGAGTGGTGAGAGGATGCGGCATAGCCATACAGCTTGCGGCCTGCAGCTCAGTCGCAGTCCTGTTTGGTGTCATCGCGATGGTAGCGAGGTGGATCAGCCCCCGTCCCCCCCCCGCTAAGGACGTCTAATTATACTGTCGGGTCATGTTTCTGGCAGAGAAGAGCCACGCCACGCCAACAATTCCAGGCCTCCCCCCCTCCTCGGAGGGAATCGTACCTCCTGCGTCGCCACCGGCGACGACGCTCGTGTGAAACCTAAAGCAACGCGCAAAAACCCCAGACCTCGCCCTCTCGACACGCCCAACTTTCCGCCGAAGCGGAACATGTGCAGCACCTATTGCTGTTACAGGAAGGCTTTTTTTTTTTTTTGACGGGTGAAACTTGGCGGAGGCCGAGGCTTTACTTGTAAAAAAACGTGGCAGACGTTGCTTAGAGCGTGGTATTGAATAAAACTACTACCGGTACACGGTTGGAGCTGACTCTGCTGGGAACCGAAGAACAGGAACGATGCTCCTTCCGTCTGCGCCAACGAGACGACGACCGGTCAAACAAAGCGGTCGACTAAGGCAAGCAAACCAATAGCGATACCCCACCACCTCCCTCCCAAATCAAAGCGCGGCTGGCTTCGCCACGCGTTCTGAACAGCGCTGAAAAAAAAAAATGGAGAAAAAAAATGTGTAACGCTTTTCAGTCATTTTCTGGTATGTATGCCTGGGGTGCCAAGAGGGCGTGTGAAGACTACTACTGCCCCTTCCCCCGCCGAACCATGCCAAGCAGAACTGTATGTACGTAGATAGGTCGACACATTTTTCTCGTGCGTGGTGCTTGTCTTCAAACCACACGTATTTATACAATGTACTCTGTAACAGAAGTGCACTGCTGTGTACATTTTGTGTACAGAAACAGCAATGACACTACATGTAGATCGGATGGTTTTTTGTTTGCATCCAGCCATCAGTCCAGCGGAGGGCCAATACGACAAGACAATATCAATATTACAGAACGCGCCACCGCTTGATCTAGAAGCCAGGAGTGAAGAAATTGAGCCCAAAAAAATCAACATTTAGACTAAGAACTTGTGAACCATTTTGTGAGTTCGGTTAAGAACCCCTACACAATATATAACCTATATAGCGATCAGTCGTAGCATGGCGCGTTCTGTACGTGGGGCGTGCGTCGTTGGTGTTGTTTGTGGGATATTATAGTTGTTGTGGGTGGGACAGGCAGGCACCATTCCTCAGGTTCGCCAACAGAGTCGGTTTCTTCCGAAAAAGAGACCGCAGGTCATCGAAGTCAAGTACTTCACGGGATAAACCCAGAAGTACCGAAAAACCATCACTGCTCTGAAGACTTAACCATCCTCATCGGAATCGGTGGGTTTGCCTTGTTTTGGATAAACAAAGCGGAGACTGACCTGTAGAAATGATTCTTTTGAGTACAGTCATGATCTCTATGTAGCGGTGGGTACGGGCTTATATAGTCTGGTGCTCTAAACTCACTGTTTTGGTCTGCGCCAAACGAACAAAAAATGCCAAGCACGCAGAAAACACCCATACATCACTTTTGGGGACGGGCGTGATATTTCCTGGGTGTACTGCCAAACCAATCATGGTCAACGGTTACACCTTATCTATCGGAGGTATTGGGGCGAAAACAAGCTGTGTACGCAGGCAGGACGGAAGGCAGGAATATGCCCAGCGGGATGCCTCCGTGTTCTCTGGGGAAAAAAAATGTCACCGGAAAAAAAAACAGAGCGGCCAACAGGCGCACGCACCGAGATTTGAACTTACGACCTGCGCAAAGCGCAACGTGGCTTTCAATACAAGTATTGAAGTACAAGTTGAACACACCTCGTGCATTTGTTCTATGAGTCTGCGTCCGCATCTTCCTCAATATGAGTCAGATGTACCAGCAGGGGCTACACAGAGAAATCCCCCCGCGATCGATCGTTTTTTTTTTTTTTCGTCTTCGACGGGGAAGCGTATACCGTACGTTGCTCAAGACACCACATCCCCGGACACATTTTCAAAGCTCATCGGTTACTCCGCGACGAAGGGGATGCCGACATTAACTGATACGTTTTTCGGAAAGCTCGCGACGAGGAGGCTCCAACGCGCCATTTTCGGTTTTGCTGCAGAGTAATCGAACCTTCGCAGATCTGTCCAGGGGGTGTGGAATCATACGCAACCTACGGTAGGTCAAGAGCACAGGGATTGTCTGTCCGTTCATGGATATGGCCAGCTTGAGTTACAATACCTGCTACATCACGTAAGAACGCCTTACTTTGCCCAGGCTCGTTTCTTTTTTATCTATGGGGTGACCCAAAATCAGCCACATTGGGTGTTGTGTAGGGATCTGGACTGAGCAGCTGTTCCAAATGGTCAAGTTCTAAAAAAAAACTTGTGGAAAAAGAAAAAGTCTGAGAGTTCTCGGGCGTCGGAAAACTTTTACGGGTCCCTTGGTGGCGCTATAATAGTTAATCATATAGCTGTGGTCAAGTAGCTCCAAATACTCAACATTTTGTTTGTCATTTCGGGCTCCAATTGGCACCAAACATTAACTTCCCGCACGTCACAAAATCTCTCAGGGCTGTGATATGGCCCTAAGGAAATCTCACTTCAATGAAAGTACCTTTTGTTCAGGCTATGGCGAACGACAAACTAGCACCCCCAGCCCCCAACACACACAAAACGCCACGCAACAAGACGAGCACAACCGCCCCAACCACACGAATCCTTCCAAACCTTGATGGGGAAGAAGGCCACCGAGCTGCCGTACAAGAGCCTGAAGTTGTAGATGTCCTTGAAGCTCTCGGCGAACGCTATCCTCTCCCCACGTCCACGCACTTGCATCACGCCTCCCGAACTAGGCCGGTCCTTGAGGTTGGGGTTGATGATCACCACCGGCCTGCGTGCGTTTTTTGTTGTTTTGAGGCGGTGGAAATTCGGATCACATCTGAGACGGCGAAGGAAGCGTTTCGGTCAAGCAACGCCACACACTGCTGCTATTGTGGCCTTCGGTGGCGTGCTTCTTCCAGAAGACCATTGTGTATGTATTCCCCTTCCTAGTCCCCGGTAGACGTCGTTGGCATTGTGCAGCTTGTGGTTTTCGGTGTCTCGGTGTCTACCGCACCCTCATGTTCACATTGCAGCGGAAGGTCAAAGTCTACCAAAATACTGTCAATAAAAAAAATGCGTGGCCGCTGGCCGTTCTGATCGGTAGACAGACAGGCGCGACCATCGGAGGAAACAGCAGCAACCCCATGTACAGCAGTACCAAGGTCGGGCAGGTATGGTCGACAAGCGTCTGGTGCCGCCACCTCCTTTGCCTGGACCCTGCTCAAGACATAGCCGGAGGACCCCCAGGCCAATATCGCAGAGCACCGTATGGTTGCGACTAAATCGGGTACACGCATGCACTTTGTACTTTTTCCCCGTGCTAGCCCCCCCCCCCCCACTACCCTCTCAACAAAGAGGCGAAACACACGACAGGCAGGGCTATTTGTACAAACGACGTGGTATGTACGTATGTATGTATGCCGACGGCAGGCCACCACAGTACCCGTCTTTCACTTCCGCACCGTCCGTTCGCGTGCTCCACCGTGTCCACCAGCAGCGGGTGGATCGAGTAGCCGGCGATGCTCTGGGGGCTGATGACCAGGATAACGTCGTCCTCAGCGGAAACGTCGTCCTTGTTCCCCAGCTGTTGGGTTGAAACGTCACGATGGGGCAGGTACATTTTGATAGAACAAAAAAGGCATAAAAAAGAATAATCGCATGCTGATATACACTGCAACCGGTGTTTTTTTCAGCTGGGAGGAGCCCTCAACCTTCGTGTTTACTTCAGTTAACACATGGCCTGCTCATTTCCCAGACATTTTGGTTACACAACGCGCGGCACGTACCCGTTTCTCGTTGCGGGTTTTTGACACGGACAATGTGGTAAGAGAGTGGAGTGCTCAAGCAAAGCACAGAATTGCATTGCAACGGATCGAACAGAAGGATCGAGCTGGACCACAAGCAGGGAAAACGACTCACTACGATGTACCTGATGGACCTGGTTTTGGCCACTGCTCACATACATACCCTGGTGCCCAAGCGATCGAGCAAAACACCCACGTTCGTTGAGCATTAAAAGAAGCCCATGTGGTTGGCGGGACTCCTAGCGTCGACCAGGCGAGGGCCAAAATATCGCTACAGCAAGAACTGGCATGTTGATAAAAGTTGCTGGTCGGGAAGCTTCCGACCCAGCTTGGTTGACACTAAAAGACCAAAGAGCCAAAGAGTGCTACGTGCGCACGCCCACCCACAGAGTGCGAAGAAATTCGGCCACCTCGCCCAAAATCTGATTGTGTGCTTGCGTGCGTTTGGTGCACCGCACGAAACAACAAATCGACAAGAGAGCGACTTACACTCCACGGAAACAGAGCAGCACCGCATACCAACCATACTCGATCGGATGGCTCTTGAAGGAATTAGTGCCAACATGTCAGAGCACCTTCCCAACGGATTTCTGCCGGTACGCCATCGTGTGTTTCGCAGCAGAAAGGGATGTGCTGTGGTGCCTACCTGACAATGACTCGCAACTCAACCAAGCATCTTTGCAATTTCTCGCTAACTACCAAGTCTTCTTCCGCAAAAATTAACCAACAACCTCTACGGTGGTACAACCACATTATGGGACAGTAACACCACATCCAGCAAGATTACCAACAACCACAACGGCAGTAAAAAAAGTTCATGAAATCGTAGACACCACAACCAGCAAGGCGTCTGATGGGTATAATTGAGTCGATTGTCAAATACCCGCGTGCAACTACTTAACCTGGTCAAAGTTGACTTGATAGCCAGCATTGCGGATGGCTTGTGTTTACCTGGCCAAAGTTGACGTGATGCAAACAACCAGTCAAATAACCAGCATTGCGTATCGCTTGTGTTTTGCCCGGCCAGCGTCGACATGACAACCACCAAGGCAAATCGCTTGTGAATTACCTGGCCAAAGTTGACGTGGGACCCCACGAGCCCGTCCTCCCAGTCCATCCCCTGCATGATAGACATCACCCCCGACAGGGCTAGCGGAAGGCTCTTGAACACCCCCTTCCCCATGCTCGGCTGGATGAGGATTCGCGTGTTTAGGCCCACGTCGGCCATCGAGTAGGCAAGCTCGCGGACCAACTCCAGAACCGTGCCCACGCGGTAGGTGTCCATGGCCGGGTTGAGCTCGGGGACCGTGCACACCAGCTGTATATGTACACACACACGGCGAGAAACGAAGAGGAAGAGGCAAGTCGTTGATACGCGATGGCGTACAGCGTGGTATGATACGGTATGTTCTGAAGCCACGTCAACGAGGACATCGGCTCTATGTATATATATTACACACGTATATACACACATACAACGAGCAGCGAAAAGGGAGATAAACGTCTTTTGATGCGCAATGGTGTACTGCGTGGTAGGATATGTCAAGTTCTAAAGCCACGCGAACAGCGGGTAGGCGCACCCTTCATTCACGTGCGGGGGGGGGGGGGGGGTCGTGGCTTCAACAGCGAGGGCGTCCGCCACCCGCTGGAAAATGGCTTTTCACCCGCTCGCACCAGTGTCACGTTAGTTGCATGCAGGGCATTACTGGAACAACCGCCGGTAAAGAATAAAAAATCCTGCACGTCGTATCAGCTACCGAATGTTGTTTTCGGGGGGGGTTCGCACTTTCATCCGCCGTGGCACGGTGGGGTCTTCCACCGCCAGCACGAGGGCTTCTGCCGCCCCCCGGTAGATGAAGTTCCTCGCCATCTTCGAGTGGGGTACGTTGTTGAGCAGCATGTTGACAGGCAGCCCACCGTAGCTGCCTACAGGAATCTGTTGGTTAGGGAGGGGGCGAGCGACAGAGCGGGGCAGAGAGAAAGAGAAAGAGGGAGAGAGGGGAGTGGAGGAGTGGAGGAGGGGATAAGGGGCCGGTGAGGGGGGCGAGAGTGTGCGACATACAGGATGAGAGATGGGCTAAGGATGCTAGAGAGTGAACAACATAGAGGTAAACGAACGGAGGTACTTACCCGGGATGGCTGAACCCCCCCCCCCCTCTCCGAAGAGCTTTCGGGGTTGGGTTTTCGTTATAACTCGACAACCAGGCTCCCGCTTTCTCCATTGATTTTTTTTTTGCGGTGACCACAATGGTGGTCGAGTAGATCATGTTATTCGGGGTGGAGAACCCTCACTCCGCGCAACGGGGGATGACCGCACCACGTTGTGTTAAAATTGGCCAAGCACCCTCGAGGCAGTTATACAGCGCTTATAACCGTCTCCGGAAGTGAACGCACCAGAAAATAAATCAAGTCATCCGCGGCTGTCATCCGTAAGCAAGGAAGTAAGCACAAGATGCAGAACACCCTCAGCAGGATGCAGCGCACCCTCCATGCGACTCGCCGAATACCTCACGGCGCTTCGCGCTTGGTGATGTGAGAGCCTGGTCCGGTGAGAACCCGGCATGCTCCGCCCCGACTTTGTAGGGATGCGAGGTCAACGGTCAAACGACTACGGCATGAAAGGCTATGAGCACCCCCCCCCCCGGGTGTGCAGATCGAACACACTCAAACGGGGATCATGCTTTGTAGTCGTGCAAATGCTTCGTACACAATAGTCGTGCTTAAAAAAGTTGATGGACACCTCGGAGGCGGCTACATTAGATGTTTTGCTTTGGCAATCGTCAAAATCGTGAGAACACCTTGCGACATCCTTATCAAATCAAAGAAGAACAGCAGAGGCACATATAGTACCCACACAGCCAGCTCTTCGCCTAACAGCAGCCACTATATCCAACAGGCACCTATCACAACTCTATCTGCGCCATATCGCGCGGACTACGGTTGGCAATGCTCTCGCTGTTCGGAAACACACAATCGCGCCTCGTTACAATACAGATCTTGCATGCAGAGGTTATCGTGCAATGGACATGTGTTCTAAGGCGTTGCTGCTGGATGCTCATAGCAAGGCCTGACTTGAGCAGCAAGACAGCTACAGGCGGGAACTTTTCTACCTCTGTGATAGCGGTTCCAGCTTTCAAGAAGAGAACAGACTTTTTGAGACCTCATGATGGTGTTGTCATGTTCCGAAGATAGCTGGAGCTCGAAGGGATGTCCGACTTAGGCAGGCTGTCCACAAGCAGTACACCGACAGTCAGCTGCAAAGCTGCAACTGCATCTTCGAAGAAAAGAACACTGTTGTCCAAGAAAGCTTCCAACAACAGGGCACACAGCGGCACAGCATCAGAGGAGGGCAGATACTAGCGTATCTTGACCCCTGAAAAAAAAACACTCAAAAACCGCATGTCAAAAGGTTTTGGTAGCTGTACTTTAACCGAACACCACCGCGAGACTTTCAAGCTAAAAACGAGTCTGCGTGTGTCCCGGCGGCGCCAGTTTCTACCTCGATGCAGGCGTAGTCATTTCCATTCCGACCGGGGTCCGTGACATTACAGTCAACTCGATTCAGGTCCAACATTTCTCCCCTCCCCTCACGGCTGTCGCTATCCTTGCAATATGTTGTGAAGTGCGAAGCGGCCGCAATTGCGTACACATGGTTCGTTTCACACCATACAAGATGATGCATCTCGCAGGATTGATCGACCACCACAGCAAACGGTGAAACGGGGAAAGCTCTGTAGCAAAGTTCAAGTCCCACGATGTTGGTACATACGACGCTTGAAGCCCTAGTTGGAGGCGGGTGAAGATGTGCTGGTAGAGCAGCAGAGAGACAGGTACAAAGACCAAGAGTCCATAAGTCTAGTGTCATATCTCATGTTGATGCTGTACCAGAAGTGGGGGCGAAATCCAAACAGCCGTGACCCGCAAGGATAAACCTTGGCGCAGGGCCTAAAAGGGATACCGTGTATATTGATAGATAATACGCTCAGGTTGGCAAAGATGGCTCAACAACGGCTTCTAAGGCTGTTTCAAATGAGGCACCATACTAAATAAACCTTTTCAAGTCAAGATGAGGAATCTACAATGGTTGTGTTGTGCCCCCACGCGGCTCGTTCGCATACAGCATCTAGGAGCAAAACAAATAATCTAGAGCCTGAAAAGGCAAACGGATAGAGAAATGCAGACACAGGACTTCTAAACACAAGAGAGAAAGTGAGAGGGAGAGGGAACAAAAGCAAATATACGACAGAAATGCTTGAAGAGATACAAAAGGCGGAGACAAGAACGGCGAGGGACGAAATATACGGCCAGCAAGCGACAACCCGTCGCCTGCTCAATTCGCTTCAGCTATAGACTGCAAGCACTCATGACTCGTGTGCTATAAATAGCACCTTGTAGATTGTCGCCGTGCTTTTCGTCAACCCCTGCTCCCTGCTCATCTCCATCAGCCTCCGCTTCACGGCCTCCGATGTTTCCAGCGGACGGTCCACCCCGAATGACACCCGCACCGTTTGTTTCGATTCTTGCACCTTAAGAACGGGGGAAAACGCGGTTGGGAGGCGCTCTGTTGATCGCAGTAAGGCTGAACGCGCGTTGGAGATAACGTGTATACAAGACTTTCTTGGCCACGAAGGGGCTGTTCAGCGTGAATTCGTGGCACGGAACTCGGGAATGGGGATACGGCCAAATGCCGGGAGGTGCCTTGTATGCGTCCTGTGCTGGGTCCCACGCTCTCGCTCGAGTGAGAGTAGAGACAGAAGGACAGGGGCAGCCCTCCCATGGACAGGGAGGCCAGCATACACACCTGCAAGCTGGTTGTTCAACGCAACGCGGACTTGCGAGTTTCGGAGTGCAGCAGCAGTCTTGACCAAAGAGAAAGACGGAAACTTGTTGCAACATGAACGATGCCACGCTTTTAACGAAACTTGTTGCAACATGAACGATGCCACGCTTTTAACACAACACTCGCAGCAACGGCAGCGACAGCAAGCGGTTGAAGAACCCACCTTTCCGAAGAACGACTTCGTCTGCACGGAGGCCGCCACATCCATACCCTCCCCATCCAACGCCACTACCTCCACCGAATCCACCATGTACGCCCCCGCCGTGAACGCGTTCTTCTGTCTTGCCGTGTCACCTATCTAAGAAAAGGAAAAAAACACGGAAGGGGACGAAATTTTCCGGAAGCGCGAGGGGAAGCCTGGGGGTGTTCACCGTTGGTACCGGGGGTCATGTGGTGAAGCGGAAATAGAAAATAAATCATTTTGCTCGCTGAGCCCAGAAAGATCTGGCGAAGCCGTCACCACAAGATACAGCAACAACAAGAAAAATATTCCCACGATGGCGACGACGATGGCGACTAGCCCTAGTCCGCATACTCGCACAGCGTGAGCAATCGACCACGGCGTTTGGCAGCGACAGGCATTCACCAAGAACAGCACCGCAACGCACGTGCCAAGTCTACACCAATGAATCAAGAAAACTGCAGCACGGTAACACGGACACACGAGGTACTCCAGTAGATCACCGGCGTGTAAGCCATGACGTAGGCGAGGACGTCTTCCGGCAGCCCGTTCATTGCAGAGGCGATGGTGATCTTAGCTTCGTCGCTAAGAGCGTCGGCCACCTCGTTCTGCACGTTTGTTGCGTGTAGGGCCCCGCGTGCCGACCCTGTTGTCGTTGATCGCGCCCTGCCCATCAATTAGAGTACAGAGTACTTTGATGGGATGAAGCATACAGGGATTAACTCATGGGGGGGGACTGTGTGATGCTGTTGCAGAATTCAAAGCACCGGTCCAAGCCAATAAAGTGTGTGCCGAAGTGCCTACAGCTGTTCGTTGTAAGAAAGCGGTTTGTACTTCGCCCGCATTGGTACCAGTCTATAGGTGTGCGTTCCCCCTGGGGATCCGCTGTTGTAATGTATTCCGAAGGATAAATTGGCGCCAGCGAGTGGGTCATTCATGTTTCATGCCGCTCCAGTGTATCACCAAACAACGCTCTCAGCTGCTGTATCTACTACCCCATGCGGCTGCGTCTGCTGATCTCATTCAAGGATTTGCACATGTTCATGAAACAAGGAGGCACGCGCGAAGGATGCGGTTGGCCTCCAAAACAAAGTTGCAAGGGGTGGCCTCAAAAACAACGTCGACAACACAGGGGCTCACATCAAATGCTCGCCGTACAGCCCGGCATTTCTCCCTCCCCTCTGCCGCATCTCTCCCCCGAAGCTATGCTGGCCCCCGCGAGGAGTAGCGTTTGATCTCGTACTGGAGGAAGCTCTTGCATGTGCTGTAGCTATGCTACTTGACCAAGCCTGTGCTCCCGGCAACAGGCTCGCCGCAGCGGCGGCCAACAATAAAATTCCGGCCGTCATGGTGTTCGATGGGGCTGAGTGGGTAGCGAGGGGCGAGAGTAAGACCTTGAGGTCGTAGTACGCGACGCAGCGACGCAGGCACGCAGCAACGAAGCGAAGAGGCGATGAAAACGAAAAGGTGCGGCGAGATTGTTTCCAGCGGCCGCCTCGCTTTGCTGTTTGTTATCGATCGGGGAAATGTATTCGGCGGAACCCCCGTTTCCTTTCCTGTTCCTCGAGCCAGCTGCGAGCGAGCATGCCTGATGCGAGGCAGACCTATACATATATATATTCGACACAATACAGTAGTAGTCCTTCATACACCAAATATACCCTATTTTCCAGAAACCTACGAGCGACCTGTGTTTTCATCAGCACAAACACAAACTTCATCAGCAGTTCAGTGTGTACCGGCGACGTTACCGACGCACGCAGCAGTTAGCAGCAACAGCATCAGGAAGAGAGAGCCGCTCGTTTGATAATTAAATCCGGTTGTCGGTAACACGTTAAAAAACTAGCAGCAACAGCATCAGCAAGAGAGAGCCGCTCGTTTGATAATTAAATCCGGTTGTCGGTAACACGCTAAAAAACGATAATGAAGTGCAGATGAGTAATAGGTACAGCAGTTCTTCGGCCGCCATCTCGGGTTGATTGGACTGACTGCGTGCATAAACTTTTTAGGGTAAGTTAACCTGTGACCACGGGAATCGACCGCGTCGAGTGTTGGATCAGTACGGACATACGAAGGTACTGGGTAGAGAGAGATCGGAACGGTTTTTAATGTGAAGACAACAACAACAACAACAACAATAAACTCCAGCTTTTTCTACAAGGTACTTACCATCGTTTTCATTTTGGAGGCCATCTCGTTGTTTTCGAGACTGACTGCGTGCGGTGCGCGTGCGTGTGTGTTGAGTGTTTTTTCGACCGCACTAACCGGCTGACCTATTAATGAAGAGACTTCAGTTTCAGTGAGCGGCTGGAAATAAAAATGCTTCAAGAGCAAGGCCATGGATGGATCTGGGACCTCGTGAAGGGGGTGTGTCATGGGGTGTGTGTGTCCCGTTTGCCCCCCGTACGTTCGGAACACCAATAATACAGAGCTTCAGCATCCAAAATCATGGTGAACCACCCCTCAATCACTGGGGGAGAGCTCGGGTGCAAAATAAATAATCGTCACCTCCAGGTTGGGGACTGTGTGGACTTTGTTGGCCGACCCATGGCACCAGCAACAACAGCACCATGACCAAGAACAGCCAGCGCAAAAAATGGCGGACGACGTGATACCTGTCGTTTGCCGTGTCTACTACTACACTGTTTCAGGACGATATTATGGCCTACCACTCTCTAAGGTTTGCCTCTATCATACGCGCTTGGGTTATCTACCAAAATATCATCTTCATTGTCACACTGCAACAATTCTAATCCTAATATCGTTTATCGCACCATCACATCACGTAAAAAATGTGCAAGCAGGCACACGTGCGTTGTTGAAGCTTACTTTCTTTGTCTTCCTCCCCATCAATCCATGCCCACCTCCCCCCTAGTTCGGCTCCCTCTAACATGCAATAAGCCACGGGGCGGCGGTCCGAGGAGCTCACCCACAACATGAACACTATCGCGATGCAACAAAAATACGTCGGGCCAGAACAGAAAGCACAATGGCACATCATGAACGTTTCCTCCGACAGACTATCGTCCATAATGTCAAAAGTATCCATCCTCACGTTCAGATCAATTGAACGTACGGTAGGAAACAGAAAGGTCTCCTTAGAGCGGACGGTAAACAGGTTTGCATGTCTGAAAACGAAGCACCGGACTGACGGTCGTCATCGCTCAACGAACGCCGTCCTTGGGTACGTAGAGTACATACAGCACAGCGAACGAAATCAAGCCTCGGAGATTCGAGCGACCTTGTCGCAACTATCGCTGTACACACACACCGTGCTCGTGGAACAGACAGGAAAAATATATATATCCCATCTCGGTGGGCACTAGCATTATGAGAGACATCCAATCTAACTCGACTGACCCTTACCGAACAGCAGTAGGAGGGGCGAATAACCCGACAGCAACAGGAAATTGACGAAGAGAAGCCAGCAAGGCGAACACCGAGCGAAGCAGAAGGGATACTACAGTAAGCAGGAGGGCTTGGCGTGTACTCGTGCCAACGTACCTACATTATCGGGGTAAAACAAGGAAGGGTCCAAACAAAATATTGTTGGATGGATACACCTGGTACTCTCACAAACACAACCAAGGTTCAGCTCTACCATTGGTCCAGACCCTGTTGCGTCTAATTCCCGTCCAGCTGGTATCTGCTCCATGGAAAGGTATGCGCAGGCGCCACCCAAGACAGAAGATGGCGCTGGCTGCATCCGGAGCTTGAAGAAACTGCACCAGGGCACTCCTGCTCTTGAAACCTCAACAAAGCGGCGGCAGTCACCGGGAAATAATGGCGTTCCAGAAATCTGGGCACCAGAGAAAAACGTGCGACGTCAAACTACCATCGCAGGTGTAAACCAACGGACACGATCAGCCGCATATAGATAGACAGAACCAAGCATTTCAGTACCAGCCATGGAAATATCGCCAAGCGACCTGTGGCGCCATCGGCGCAGAGGCCAACAGGCTCGTCAAGGACGTGGAATTGGCGAATCCTCCGACTTCAAAACGGAATGGCCGACCCGCGGGAGCGTAAACTCACAGTTGACACCAATCGCGCATGCAGGTTATTGGCCAAAGTCAGGAGCAGACCGTGGCAACACCAAAACCGAACAGCTCTCGCACCCACGTCACAGGCAACCGATGAAACATCTGCCGTCATAGAAATAATCAGGAAATTTGTACTCGGCTGCCACTGTTCAAAATCCTCGTTCGTTTCGCACCCCCGCACGATTGTGTCCAGCACATGACAATTGTTGAGTGCTACATCATCCGCTGCGCGAAAAGCTACACAACGTGTGCATAATGTCTGAAGCAAAACCAAACGAAAAAATCGGGTGAAATCGACCAATGTATGTCAAGACCACGACCACGGCAGTGGTGGTGCGAAGCAACCGAGATAAATCAATTTCAAGACTTTTTGTGGTTGTTTGTGAGCGGGAATACTCGTCGTCCATTTTCGCTTCGATGGGAACGAAGCTATCATCAACCCTACGGCAAATTATCCCCTCCCTCGTACCGCACAGGAAGCCCACAACCAAGCGGAACAAGACGTCAGGCTCCGGCCCGACTAGCCTGCCCACCCCCCCCGCCAGTCGTCAATCGTCTTGTCTTCCGTCTCCTCACCATCCCGACCCCAATACTCGCCGCTGACCCTCGCCACCTTGGCGGAGCAACCGTTGCTGCTGCCGATGGCACTGCTGCCACGTCCGTTTGCGATCTGCACCCTGGTCGGGCACGAACGACTCAGCACCAGCCAGCTGCGGCGACGCCATGACCTGTCGGCTGGAGCACTTTCCAGCATTTGGTGAATGCGCTGGTAGTCGGCCTCAATTTCTTCGTCGTTGCTGTCGTTCTCTTTCCAGACTCCTATCACGTCTGCGGGGGTTTCTTCGTCTCTGTTTGTGAGCTTCTCATCTGTTCCCCAACGTAGCAGGAGCTCCACAGCCGCCAAACTTGACCTCTCGCAAGCTGTGTGCAGTGGCGGCTTCTCGTATTCGTTACGCACATCGACGTTGGCCCCTCACTCCAACATGACGCGCATCGTGCCCATCGATGCTATCCTTGTCTCTACGGCAAGATGGAGAGCGTGAAGCAACCGCCGGTGGTCTTCGCGTTGACATCAGCTCCGGCTTCCAGCAGTACACGGACAGCATCATCACCGTTGTCTTGGACAGGCCCGTCAACAGATGCAGCAAAGTATAGGGCTGTGTATCCGTTCTCATCGGTGGCGTCAACTGCACTGTTGTCTGCGTCAAGGAAGGCTTTCACCATGGTCGCGTGACCTCTTCTTGCAGCAATCTCGAGTGGAGAATCCTGCTTGTTTCTGGAACGAACGACGCGGGTGGCACCGGCAGCTAGCAGCTTTTCGACAACCCCGAGATGGTTGTTTCTGACCGCCTTTTCAGTGGCGTTTCACCTTGAAGATCGAGAACGTCCTTGTTTGCACCGCCTATCAAAAGCTCAGAGACGCACAGCGTATGGCCCATGACAGCAGCGAGGTGGAGAGGAGTCACCTGGAAATCACTCGTCGCGTCTACGTTGGCCCGTTCCAAAAGAACACGTACAACTCGGTCGTGCCCGGCTTCGGCAGCGAGGTGGAGCGGACTCTCGTCCTCAAAATTACCCAGATCCGGGTCTGCCCCGGCGGCCATGAGCGCCTTGGAGGCCTCCTCTGCTCCCCGCGCTGCCGAAACGTGGAGCGCGGACTCGCGTTCAGTCCCGAAGACGGCATTCACATCATCCGTCACCCCAGCCTCGAGTAAAGCCCAGATCATCTTGTCGCTTTTGGTGCCGCAAGCAGCCGCACCCAGCAGTGTCCGTTCATGGCAACCCCAACCCCGCCAACCTGGTTCCCCGCCGGCACCAGCGTCCATCAACCGTGTGAAGAGATCCAAGTTTCCTTTGGCCGCGGCATGCTCCAGAGGTGTTCGAAGCCACTGCTTCCACTGCCCCGCAGTCGCCTCCTCCTTGACGAGTTTGAAGATCTCGATCTCGAAGCCGTCCACACGTGAGCGGTCTCCTTTCGAAGCGGACATATATTCTTGGTGTGACAGACACAAAAAGGGCAACTTTTTGATAGTAGCGCTCTCGCCTATTGCAACCTTGCACTTGGCGTTGTGTTGCTGCTGATTCTGGCAGGAGCGGAAGCAGGTGGACAGGTGTGAGTGGGTGGGGAACGGACTTGATTGCTGGTGTGGGGGCATCCGCAGATCGCGTCATTGCCAAATTTCGACGCCCTCGTTTCTCTCTCTCTCTCTCTAGAGCCTTTGCCCCATCTGCCTGTTGCCTGCTGGCTGTGCTTGCCATGATGTCGTCGTTCAGCTGGTCTGTGAATGGTGAATGGGTTGTTGTTGATGCCCGCCGCACCCCCCCAATGCGAATATGTACATTTGCATCCGCCGGTGCCCCCATTTTGGCTCCAAGTTGGCTGTGCTGGGCATGTGGATGGGAGTATGGTATGCCCGGCAAGCCAGGAACCGCCGAAGAGCACCTGCCCTATACACCATCAAGAGCGGTTGGATGCTAGGGAAGGAAGCTATTGTGTGACGTCGCCGGGTTTGACAAAGTGAGTGTAACGGTACAAATTGGCTGCTGGACAACGAAAGAATGGGTACCTGGTGCTGCTGTGCTGCTGTGGCTTGCCGCTGTGTGAGTGAGATCACTCCACAACCGGAGCAAGTGCACGGAGAAAAGAAGGCAAATCAACATCTCTCCTGAACAAAATGGAGATGATATCCCCCAGGGATCATGTTCTGTAGAGCCCGTCTAATGCTTATCATTGTGCTAAATACAGCTGTAGACGCTGCATGACAGCAGCCGTGTAGTCTACATCGTCTGGAGGAGGTGTGGAGTCGCCGTGTGGTTCAGCAGAATCATTCGGCGACCGGGCAATCCTGTGTGAGCGTGCAGCGGCACGCTAGGAACGATGAAACTGCTGCTGGTTGAGGTTTTGATAGGTTGGTCGCGGTCGCGTCAGCCGCCTTGGAGGAGGAGTCGACATGCGTTTTCTCAGGTGTTCGCGACAACGTTAAAATTATACCGCAACGGCGAATCCCTAAATAGCAGCAGGAAAATGAAGCCGGTCCATCCTTATCCTGCGGCGGTAGCACTCGTGAGAGGGGAGGCGTGTATGTTGGGGATACCTGAGGGGGACACGGGTAGTGCACATGTGGAAGTGCTTGTCTTGTTTTCTCCAAAACGCCGCATTTTCAACTACATTTAGCGTTCGCACTTGAGAACTTGATATGCTCAACATTGGTAGATGCCGTACTCCGTACCGTAAGTAGGATGCATATATCACACTCCCTGGACCGATTTCCGAAGCTCGATATCTCGGCAGGAAAAGCAGTGACGGTGCCGAAAACGGCGGGGTTGGAACCGTCTCGTCGAGAGCTTTCCGAAAATGTATACTTCGATTTCGGCATCCTCGTTCGTCGTGGAGTAGTCGAGGTTTGAAAATCGGTCCAGGGGGTGTGATATCTTACGCAGCCTACGGTAAGAGTGGGGTCCCCGCGGCCTGAATATTATTATAAAACGGTCGCCCCCACAAGGTGAGGCGGGTGAAAGTGAAATTGAATGGCACACTGTAGACGGAATGACCAAGTTGGTCTACACATTGGATGAGGCGGCTGTCCATTCCTTATAAGGCGGTCATTGTCAGCTGTCCCACCACCGCCTTATTCGGGGACCCATACTTGTAAACCAATGTCGTCTGGGAGTCATTTTCACCCACGCCAGAGGATCTTGCGTGCAAGCGCTCTACGGCTGTGCGGTACTAAGAAGGATGTGTCCGGGTCCCGCCAACATACCGATAAGCACTCCCTCACCGTTGTATGCATAGAGCAGTAGAGAACACAACTCGAGAACTCGTGGGTACCTACCTCTACATACATGACCTCTACATGTATGTCCGCATACGAGTATCAGCAAAAGTGCCACAATCAGGAGAACCTCTGGTTTGATAAATGCATCGCCCACGGCAGCAACACTGCCTGAACCCCCTCAAAAGAGAGAGAGATCTGACGCAAGACAAGACCCCCCCCCCCATTTCCAGCCCACCATTTCGTACCATTTGGATCCCACTCTCTTTCCGAGTGTTATCTATGTGGAACGCTGTCGGCCACGGCGCCCAACATCACCACTCCCCAGCTGCTGTAACTCTCGCTTTGTGTGTTGCGGAGAAAATGAGCGGGGAAATTGTTTCTCTTGAAGGAGTTTCTCACGAAGCAGTAAGTGCGGCGGGTGCGCCAATCGCGGTGTGTCGTTAACCTCGCAGCAAAGCGCAGCGGGTACACCAACCACGGCTTTTCGTTGCGCTCTCCTCTCGGCACGATGCTTTCATGAGCATGTTAGTTTTTTTATCGAGTCACGCGTGCCACGTATTTGTTCACCCCGACACGACACAGGGGCAGCAGAAGCCATGAGCCAGAGCATCGACGAGGTGCTGCTGGGCACGCCTGCGCGAGGAGCCGGTGGAGGCGATGAGGAAGGGGAAGGGGAGGGGGACAAGTTTGTCCGGCAGCTGTTCGAGAGCCTGCTGCTGGGGACGAGGGCATCGAACGCCATCCCCGACGGAGAGGGCCAAGAGGTCAGTTTCCCCGGTTTAGTGTTTGCGGTGGTGGTGGTCCTCATTCTCGTGATGGTTCGGGGGGTGTGGTGTCATCGGTGTTGTTGCCTTTTGTTGCTTCCTTGTTTGCCAAGAGTCATCCGCGCCAACTATTCTAGTGCGGGCGAACGCACACAGGCGTGCGACCGATATTTGAATATGGGTTGATTGCTCTGCACCGAGGAAGGCGTGTGCTCTCGAAACCCGACCGAATGCTCTCGACGAGATCGTCCCCAAACTGCTAGTTTCTTTTGCACCTAAGAATATTCCCTCGTACTTGCCGCCTTTTTCAGGACTACGCGTACAACGCCACTTTTCCCGAGTTCAGGTCGAGGGCCGAGGGCTGCGGGAAGCAGGTGCTGGAGGTGATCCAGATCTTCCTCAACCACGTTAGTCAGGAGGGGGAGCTCGGCCTGCCGGAAGTCGGCGACGCGGGAGACCCCGAAGTTTTCCAGGTTGGACTAGTCTACAATAAGCGATTTGCGTTCTTTATCCTTGCTGCGGTTTTCGCCAGCCCCGGTCCTTTGTAAACTGCGTCGGATTTTTTGTGTCTTTATTCTCAACGTCGCCGTCACAGTTTTTGGGGATGGGGGAGACTGGATGGCCGTATGTACGGTGGCGCCCGTTTAAGGTGTTGAAGGGGAGGGATACGCGACCACTTTTGTTTTGGGTTTCGTCCAAAGTATGTTGATGTGGGGGCAAGCATCGCCCGACAAGACTCGAGCCACTTCTAGTGTGGCTGAACAATCTTGCGCGAATGTCCGCCACGACTTGCGAGTGACGAGATACATACATGTACCTGGTGCCCCCCGGCTAACGCAGCCCCTGGGGGCATGGCTTTCGTGCCCTGCCCTTTACCGCTTATCTGTCCAAAACATCCTTGTCTCGCGTTTTGTTCTGTTGATATTTTCTCTTCTTCCGCCCCCACCTCCCCGCACCTTCGGCAATAGGGCATCGCGGACGTTGTGGAAACCCTGCTGGAGGATGTGGACTCTTATCTCGACGAGGCCGCCGGAAAAGGCGCCAATCAGCAGGTATATGCTCGATGATTGGACTCCCACTGTTCCGTTTGTTTTGCTGCTGTCGTACCTCGACGTTGGACGAAGTCATCGCGTGTCTGCCTCTCGTTTCGGGACTCGACCGATGTCTTTTTGGTGGGGTTTCTTGTGTTTTTTTTTGGCATGCCTCCCGGTTGTGTTCAGCGTCCCCACGCGAAACCCGAATGACACTAAAATGGTGTAGGTGAGTCGACTGCCACTCCGGTCGTTCTCGTGATTTTCGTCCCCATCAAACCCCGACTGTACCTATATTACACGAGGGCGGATCTCGTGCGACATATACCGCTTTCTTTTCTTCGTTTCGCGCTGGTAGGTAGCCTATACCACACGTTGTTGGTTAGTTGCTACCCCTCACGCCTTGGTGATGAGAGCCTGGTCCGTCTCGGCTTTGTAGGGATGCGAGGTCATTCATCTAACGACTACGACATGCACGGCTATGAGTACATCGCCCCCTGTCGGGATGAACGCAGATATATGCACACCTGTTGTATTTTCTTTCGGCTGCTGCCACTTTCTTGCTGCTGCTAGTGCTTTCCATTTCACGGCTGTTTTTCGACGATCGGAAGAATCCCGTCAGTTCGAGGAGGCCCGTGGTTCGAAAAAGTGTGGTGGTGGTGGTTGTGTGTAAGTGTGTGCTTCTCCTCTCAGTGCTATTATGCATACTCCCCACGAGACGTCGTCCTCGTTTCCGGGATGGCCCTTGTTTCTCTTTCGAATTGTCAATCAACGGTCGGGGGGGGCACAGCGGAGGATAACGGTGCACGGCAGACCCACCGAAATCCGCCGAGCTGTCTGTCGTTCTCCTCGACCCCAAGACTATGTTTGATAATGCAGAGTCGTTTTCAAGATCGATCGAAAGCACTACGACGGACAGGGCGGGAACGCGTGTGAACGAACGGTGGAAGGTGGATACCGCTGTTGTTGGTTGTCACGCTACACTGTGTGCGGTTACTGCATGTCGATCCCAGGTGGCACTCATGCGGCACCAGCTCAAGACGGTGGCGTCCGCGGCTCGCAGTGGCCCCGCCAAGTACGCTTCGATGGTGTCCAACGTGGTGGACATGCCCAAGCCCCAGGAGGCGTTCCAGGAGGAGATCGACAACAGCAGGGATACCCCGTTCGTGCCGAAGCTCAGGGAGAAGCCCAACGCCGTCACTCCCCTTGACCTGGCTCCGGTGAGCGCCGAGACAATTCACGCAGCGGTGCTGCTGCTGTCTATGCGATATATATGGATGGCGTGATAGCGTCTGCATATCCAGGGCAGAAATTGTTACAGAAATATGTGTCAGAAGCGACACGTTCATGTCTTGGAAACTTGAAAACGCCAACATGTCTTTGCTTGGTTGGTGATGGCCACGAAGTTGCATCCTGTGTGCTGTTGGAGTCGCCCCTGCTCTGACAGGGAGTACAAATGCGCTGATTGTTTTTACACCTTTCGGTACACGTTGCATTTGTTCATCAATAACTTCATTTCTCAAGCTTTTTTTTTCGAACAGCATCCTAAGACAACAAGGGCTAGCAAACGGCAACCTCAAATACGTTGTGTGTTTGGACGACCACGACCGCTGCCCACTCCACAGATTTCTACGCTTTCCACTTCGATGGGCATGGAGCTAGAGGGTAGAGCGGAGGACTCTATGTCAGGGTCCGGCTTGTTGGACTTTCACTACCCGCACCCCTACGAGGTGGAGATCAGGGCGTTCCACTACATGCCGGCACAGGTGATGAGCTGTTGTTGTTGTTGTTGTTGTTGTTGTTGTTGTTGTTGTTGTTGTTGTTTGTTGTTATTATTGTTTTTGCTGCTATTGTTGTTGTCGTTGTTGTTGTTGCTGTGACCTGACAGGATTAGTTACTCTTCCCTGATGCAATGATGCAACAAGTGCAGTAGCCAAATGGGGGACTCAGACCTTTTCTTCATCGATCCTTGACGTCGAGTTTTTGTATTTGTGGGTTGTTTTTGTCACTGAACCCGCCGAAGCGGGTGTGGATTGCCGCCCCGCTACTTTGTCGGTTGTCGACGGTTGTTTTTAGTTTTGGGCACGTTCAGGCCGTGCTCTGTCGTCGGTGATTGCCAGTCACCACCACACGACAACAACAAATCGCAAACTGCAACAGCAGTGATGGTGTAGCTCAAGCCTGTGCGTGGCCCTTGTAACCACCCACTTATCTCTCCGATCGCATGTCGCCTAGTCACCGCTTCTGTTTCCAGAAAGAAGAGGGCGCGCACCTGAGTGGCGCAGGGTCATCGACACACGTGCAGATCTCCCCCAACTCAGAGACTACCGTTGCTTATCCCTATAACTGTTCGACGCGAGGAGTTGATTCCTCGCAAAATAGAGCGAGGGGAGTGCCACTAAAATAACCATACGAACCATAGTTCGAACGAACGGATAGACAGAGAGGCAAACAAGTGAGAACGCCCAAACGAACAACACAGGCAGCAGCACCGCAAGCAACCGAACAGCAACAAAACGCCACCAAAAGGGTGGTGTGCGACTAAGCCGTGCATCCACAGCAACACAGCCTTGCGGGCCAAGACAAAATGAACATGCACACATACCACAACAGCAACAAAGCATAATGGTAACCCTAACCCACAGACGCACAGCCTTGCAGGCCAAACCACTATCAAACATGCACACATTGCCACAGCAACAAAGTATAATGAAAACGAGACCCGAAAACATTTTTTGTTGTTGTTGACAGGTGAAGGCCCCGTTAGATTCGCAGCTCGTCCGGCCGGTCCCGCTGGTTGGGGACGAAGGCCACAAAGCCCCGGCGGCCACCTTCGTCGACACGGTGGAAGCGCTGGACTCCATGATCTCCGACATCCTCGGAGATGGCGCTCCTGGCGGCGGCGGAGGAGGAGGAGGAGGAGGAGGCGGTAGCAGCTCCGGCAGCGACGACGAGGGCGGGGGTGGTGGTCCCGCCAGGGAGGCGTGCCGAGAGATCGCGGTGGACCTCGAGCACCACTCCTTCAGGTAAGTCCTTGTGTTTTTGCACGGCCTTGTCTGTTGAACCATTGGCCGGGAGGGGTAAGGAGCCTTGCCAGGTGGGGTTGGGGAGAGTTTTTTCCTGCGTTGAGTTATGCGTACAAGGTACAGGGGGGGTCCGTCTTAGTTTGCATGGAAGGGGGGCACGGAGGAAGGTGGCGTGTTAGATATGCTACAAATTGGAGATCGCGGTCGGCCCAAGGCGATCGCAGGTTTTGAGCACTCGTGTGCTGCGGGGGGGGGGTGGGGGGGGTACTCATAGTCGTGCATGCCGTAGTCGGTAGACCCTTGACGTCACATCCAAACAAAGCCGGGACGGAGCACGCCGGGTTCTCACCGGACCAGGCTTTCACATCACCAAGCGC